GACACTTTTAAACTCTGAAATGTTATACAAATGACACACCGTCAAATAGAAGAGATGATTAACTAATTCTAGATACAGTTTCCGACTATTTAACATCGTCTTGGTTGTTTGATAGATAATTCATAGAGGTGAAATAATTAATTACTTTCTGAACATCCTAATATAAACTTCCTTGTTTTATTAAATGAAGTACAACAACGTACAAATAATGAAAACACAGTTCAAACATTAATTTGACATTCAGGTCCGAGCAGAAAATGAGGTTAATTGTTAATCATTAAGTCACGATATGGCTTTCATATAAAACAAAGTTTAATTGAATAGATTAAACAAATAAAGTTGATAAGCACTGACAGGGCAATAATAAATAAACTTGTAACAATAATGGATTTTTAATAAAATTCTACTTTGAACAATTAAAATCCTGAATGCGCGACAAAGAAAAACCGTTTTTACTTTGTGTAATTATATTTCAATTGCGTTATCCAATATCCAGAAACTTTTGCATTTATTTATAAAAAAGAAAAAGAAAATAAACGCTGCTTGTTCTTTCCATTTAAAATGCCCTCTAGCCTATTTTTATTGATGTTTTTTTCACATTTTACATTCTGTCTTTTTTTTTTTATCTATTTCCCTCTTTTATGTTCTATCTCTTTATCTCTCTACATCTATCTATCTATCTATTTATCTATCTATCTATCTATCTATGTACAACTCACATAAGCAAGCAAACACACACGCAACCAGGTGCACAAATATTATTCTGCAATTTAAATATTTTTCTGGGGGATAAAATATCTAATTATTAATGTGAAAAGGGACATATTAAAATGAAGATCAAGGAAGAAAAACATATTCAACACGATATAATTGTCGACAAAAACTGTATGACATTGTTTTTATTCAATGTTGGTACAGGTCTCGTGATTTCTATACCCTTTGTAGTACCTATTACATTTTCTACACAAACTGGATGTTGACCACTCGACTGCATAATTACGTCTTCGGTATATCGGCTCCACGCACACATCTGCTTTAACCAAAACAAAATTATATTGCAACTCCCGCTCAAAAACCAAAATTTAATTTGGAGCTGATTGACGGCTATATATACTCAAATTCAAGCAGACCCGACACAGACTAGCGTTTGATGTCAACACCGGCCCGCTGAGAGAGGTACGCCACCGACAGCGACAGGCTTGTAATGAACAATAATTAAAATAATTAAAAAATGTCCATTTCCCTTCTAATTTCACCACTCTCCCTCCCTGTTGCCTTAGCAACAACAACAAGTATAAGTTACTAGTTCTGCATATACGTAAATAAATTATACATTTACCCATACTCAATGTCTACTTTTGTTTGACGATTGGACTTACGTTTATCGGGGTGGAGAAGTAACAACAGAAGCAACAACAAGTTTCTGTCTTCCAGGTTAGCTATTTCCACCTCAGCAACACCTTCATCAGTCAAATATTAAAATTAATTCAAATTCCACAGCCAAATACAAACTTTTAATTGAGAATAAATTAAAATTCTTAGAAAGAGTAGATAGTTCAGTAATTCCAAATTATAAGAGAGGGAGAAGATTAGCGCAATATATGGTTTTTGTTATTCTAATTGTGCCCACTTCTTGTTCTCCTCCCTCTTATATTTTTGAAGTACTGAATTATCTTCTAACTCTAAGATATTTAAATTATTGTCCATTACAAGCCTGTATAGTGGGGTGTGCAGGTGGTGCAATGGCTAAAGTCGCGTTCGAATTCCGATTAACATCGACAAAGTAAAACTAGCAGCTGCTCTCGAAAATGGCCTCCAATCAGTTGTTAAATCGGGCAAGAAATGGCTTGTAAATTTTAATACCTCCAAAATTGCTATTTTTAATCATCACAGAGAACCATTTTTACCATCTATCAGAATGGCTGATGCTCACCTCCAGGAGAGCAACTTATTGCGCCTTTTGGTCTCACGTCTTCTACTGACATGAAGTGAAGTGATTATATTGAATCAATTGCTAAGTTTGCATCTAGGTAAGTTGGTTTACTGTGTGGTGCCGGACAGTTTGTCTTGACAGAATATATCTTGTACATTTATAAATTTTCCATTTGTCCTTGCATTGAAAATTGCTGTCATATCTGATCTGCTAATACTGATATATATCGGGAGATTATCGACAAAATCCAAAGAAAAGGTATGTAATCGGTCCTGACCTGGTATATTGATTTCAAATACTTTCCCAACATTTGAAAATAGATATGCAGTGATCCCCACCTCAACTGTCTTTTCTATAAATCTTTCTCACGGCATTTGTTGTAATGAGCTCATAAATTCTTCTCCTTGATACCTCGACCAAATGAATTTAAGCCTACTACTAGATTGGCAAATAGGTCTCATTGTTTTACTGTTGAAATGATTAGATGTAAGTTCTATTCTAATAATTTCTTTTCTCACCTGTTTCTTTCGGTTTCTTCCTTCCGTGCCACCTACAATCTTCAAAAATATGAATGAAACACCTGTCTTCATAAAACCTGTTCTTTTATTGTCCTTCACTAAAGTCTTCTCATTCTCTTTCACTCCCAATAACCTCTTGCAACTTACTAGCATTATATATATTTTGATGTGATTTCTGAAAATTGTGTTATGTCAATATCCCAAGTCAGGGGAGATTGTTGTTCCTGCTATTAATTGGAAATTTGACTTCAGCACTTTTATTACTTAGTACAGGAGTGGGAAAACTATGGTCCACGTGACACAGGCGGCCCGCCGAAAGAATTCATGTGGCCCGCCAAATGTTAGTAAATTTGAAAGAGAAAGTTACCAAGCAACATCAAATAATTGTTACAAGCAATTTGACGCCTAATTTTAACAAACTGGTAAATGACTGCAGTCAGATACATTATTCTCATTGAGTCATTAAGATCCTTCTGTTGCTGAGTTATTTTGTTTCAAATAAATCTGTTTCATGTGAAGTTATTACTTCAAAATATTAATTTTTTTTTCTTTAAACTGAATTAATATGTTTTCAAACGAATCTATTTCATGTGAAGTTTCTACTTTAAAATCTAAATTGATTTTTCTTTAAATTTAGTTACTTCATATGTTTTATTTGAAGTTTCTACTTTAAAATATTAGTAAGAATTCTTTTTTTATTTCTTTACGTAGAGTTAATTTGCTTTTCAAATAAATATGTCTTCTACTTTATAATATTAATTAATAAAAATATTTTTCTTAAAACAAGTTTATTTTGTCTTTCAAATGTGTTTCATGTAAATCGTCAACTTAAAATACTTATTAATATTTTTTCTTTAAAATACTTTAAAATGAGTTACTTTATCTTTCAAATAAATGCGTTTTATGTGAATCTTCTACAGTACTTTAAAATATTAATTAATAAAAATTAATTACATGTTTTTCTTTAAAATCCTTTTTTGTCTATTTTAAATATTATTTTGGATTAGTATACTGTGCAACCCAATAAAATTATGAATTTTTGAATGTGGCCTTTGCACTGAAAAGTTTGCCTACCCTGACATAGTAATAGCCAGGATATGTACTTACATGTAGGCACATTGGAATAGCGATAGAGGTCTTCCAAAACAAAGCAACGTATTAAAAACAGGAATTTTTCGTTAGAAGCAAAGAGGGCTGAGCTGGTATTTAATATCAATCCTCTATATTGCAGGGGATTTTAAACAATTTCCTCACAGATGAAGACGAGAAAAGTACTTCTACCAAAGGATGCCGAAGAAACTATAGACTGAACGTGTGAGCAACTAGAAAGTTTTAAGGATAATCAGAATAAAAGTAACATTTTTTATAGTAATGTTCAGCCTGTACAAGGCCCGGGGGTCACTCAGAGTTGAGGTTTACGTTAAGGAGTAGTTTATACGGATAGGAGAGGAAGACAACGTTTAGCCCGAGACTTGAAGAGATTAAGATTGTAGCGATCCTCCTTCTTGGGAGTCCGTTTCACAGAGCTGCGGTTCACGGAAAGAAGCTGTTCGAGTGGAACCTACTTTTTGCCAATGGCATACGGAGGGAATGTGGGTGGTTTGATACAATGTAAGTGGCATGGCGGGTCCTCACCGTGAAGGTTAGACTTGGTGGAACCAAGGAATGTAGTTTGTCCGAACACTTTCCACGGAAGTAACGATAGAGCAGTGAGAGACTCGCCACATCCCGATAGAGGCTGGAGGGTAAATTAATTCGTCATCCACAAGGATGCTTTTGAACTCTATCAAGATTGTAAAGTAAAGGTTAGGCAGCACCCGCCCAAATATGACAACAGGACTCCATTTTCGGCCTTGTATGGCTCTTGTAAAGGTAGAGGATATCAGGTACTTATTGAGCGGCACAGGGAGCCGATCATTTTATATGCATCTTTAGCGGTGGATCGTATGTATGAATTCCACTTGAGGTCATGTGTGAGTTTGAGGCCAAATATTCTCTCAAGGCACAGTGCCTCCTAGAGGGGCCATGCGTTCATCGTAGTTCGGGATCCGGTCGGCGGTGATGAAGAAACAGAAATATTTGGACTGATAATGAGGAAAGAAGGCTTGCAGAATTTAACACCCACTTAACGTGCCGAAGGTAAGAAGGGCAGTGTGAACATCGAGTAATCTATCTAAAGAGATTGTATAAATGGACGTCAGAATATGGAGTGGAAAAGATGGTTATGTGACAAACATTGCTTAGAGCTACAAAGGTTAGGATCTTGTGGAAAGCTATGATTGCCTACGTCCTGAAACGACTCACAGAAGAAGTTTTAAGTAACAAATGGCGCTGATTCTTGGAGACGTTTTCACTATGAACGTTTTTAAAGTCTTTAAAGAAATATGCCTAACTAAAGAGAAACAAAAGATATTAATGATACATTTTCGTTTTCAAAGTCATTCATAGCTTTTATAAAAATCTGCAAAATTCGCCAACATATTTCATCTTATCACACCCACCTTAAAAGCAAGACACACATGGAGAGGAAAAGAAATTCAATGTAGTGTTTATGTCTTTATTTTTGAGTGTGGGAAAGAAAAGTGGCATTGACAAGGATGGAATGTGGTAACGGCCCTGGAAACAAAAACAAAAGGAAGCGGATGTACTGTTGGAAAAGAAAAACTGGAAATACGTCCGGCTTGTCTGTCGCATGATGATAAACTAATATATAATCATGCAGTGGTTTCTCTATTAACATTACCACTACTACTACTAATAGTAGTAGTAGTAGTAGTAGGAGTAGTAGTAGTAGTAGTCTGCTAGTTTATGTTCACACCAGACACACACGCCTTTAGTACTCATTTCTTACCTTCTCCTTTATTTGGGTATGCTATATTCCATTTTCTTCGCTATAGATTTCTTCTTGTTCCACTTCCCAAATCTTTGTGACAAAATCTAAATCAATTGAGTATTTTTCTATAATTCTCCCTTGAATCTTATTTTTGCGCATTTACTAAGCCTAAATTTATACCTATGTCCTCACTGAAACATTTTACAGTATTGAGGAGACCCTTCAACTTATTGTCATCTTTGGCAAAGAGTTTGAGATCATCCATGTAGAGTAGGTGATTGAATACTTTTTGTTTAGTATGTATTCGTAGCTATTATATATGCAAAACAAAAAAAAACAAAAAAAAACACTGGAATCGCTATTATTGTTTGGTTCATGTGTAAGGGGGGGGACTAAGGACAGACAAAACAGAAGGGGTGACAGGGAATATCCTTGAAAGTCTCCTCGTCGGATATTCAAGCGGTTGGAAGTGACAGTGCCTCTGGTGTGACTTAGGTATAATCTGGTTTTTCACATTCCCATAATGTCTTTAAGGAAATTTACTATCATCGGTAAAACATTGTACATTTCTAGAGTTTTAAGGATCCAAGTGTGTGGCACACTATCAAAGGCTTTCCGGTAATCCTTCCATGCTGTGCTAAGATTTCTACATCTTTTCCTGCAACTTTTCAGGATCATTTTGCTTATCAGTAGTTGATCTTTGAAACCATATGAATCTCTCATGCATACTTTCTGTTCCAGTGAAAGAATATTTGCTTCTAGAAAAGAGTAATTACGGTTTGTCAGGACAGACGAAATCAATTTATACGTGGTAGTTACCAGGGAAGCAAGTAAACAGAACTGAGTTCCACAGGCGCGAAGTACGAGAAGAGAAACTGTTGGAGTAGAAGTGGCGGTTGAATTTAGCTATTCCAACAGTAAACAGGCGGGACCTAGATGCCAATCTAGTTGCACGCTTAAATTCATGTAATCGGGACACCAGGGAAAAAAAAGAGAAATGGCATGAAAATATTTGTAGAAAAGACAGAGGGAAGCTAGCCACGTTGGTGAGAAAGTGAATGAAGACGAGATGCCAGGTCAGGATCGATTACATTATAGACCCTTCTTTGGATTTTGTCAAAAATCACGGGATGAATATCAGGAGCACCAGACCAGATATGGCAGCAGTATTCAATAGACTGGCCGCATATTCCTTTATCAGTAATTTGTGGAGGAATAGTGTCAGTCATAACTGAAAATTTTATTTACTTGATCTTCCCACTGAAGCAAGACGTGTCACAATCTCTTTTTTCATATGTATCAGTTTATATTCATACATATGGACCAAGTATAAAAATCGCTCAGTCCCTTCCATCACTGCCAATCTGGCGTCGATATCACAGTAATGGATAATGGCTCGGAATTGTTAATCGAAAAGCCGAGCTCCAATATATGAATCCACCTCTTCTTTCCCAGATATGGGTCAATTAGTAAGACTTGTACTACTAAAATATTATAATCTCCTCCCCACCTCAAAAAAAATCTTCTTGCGATCTAAAAATATCTTCGGCTTTAAATAACTTGCAAAGGGTTGATAAGCCGTAGAAAATGAATCAATCAATCATGTGATATAGAGTTAGTTTTTCACACTCGAATTTGTATATTGATTTAGTAAGCCTTGCGTAGATATAGCACATGGATGCAAGTATGCAGTACTCAGTGAGGATCGCAATCACTACTCAGTCGTAATTGACAATCTTGCTAACTATTACACCACGTCGAAGTCAGCGAAAGTACTATTCTGTGAAACTGAATGACTAATCCCTATTTCAAGATATATAGAGTAAAAAGAAAAGATCTCGCAGGCTGTAAATAATGGCTATCGGATAAATCATGAACTAGGTCAAAAATATTTGTTTTTGCACTAAAGAATGTTTTCTTTTTTTCAACCTGAAATTCCTGGGTTTTTTTTCCAATCATAATTCTCCGGTGGCAACATATTGGGGTCAAACAAATGGCCATGAAGCAACAATAAACACTTGACAATATATTCACGTGAAATCTCAATTGCTTTTATGCATTTCTTATGTTCTGCCGGCGATATTTTCAATGGCGGACTGCATTAAAAGTGCATTAAAAATAACGTAACTACGGGAAAAAATATTCTACGTTCACAGAAAGCTCTTCATAAAACCTTTTCATAAAAGGATTCATTACAATAAGTTCCTTTTCCAATGGCACCTGTGAATTTTTTTATTTATTTTATCTTCTGGTCACTCACGCACATAAAACTAACACAATTATCATTTACGGAATTCCCAGACGAAGAGAATAAGAAGCTATTATTGTTAAATGTCGTGTAATTTGCTTATGCAAGCGAGAAAATTACATTACTTCGAGTATGAGTAAAAGTGAAGCCGTTTAAGTGCAAGTATTTACAACACACACATTCACTAATCACGTTTTCCCATCAAATAAGGCAGAACTATTCACAGATACTCACGAATTCATTTTGCATGGACACTTAGTTAAGGGATAGAGAAATATACACTGTATGATTTTATTATGTAAGTCCATGTTTTCATAATACAACTGCTATTAACCAACAGATATATAAAGATAATGATAAACATACCATGTGAATTTCAGCTTGCATTATCTATCTTTATAAGAAATATTAGGGTTTTTGGAAATGAAATACGTAATACACTAGCTGTGTACGAAACTGCGTCTATCTACAACAAGCCTAGCTGTGGAAGACAGCTCACTCCGAATGAAGACTATTGAATTAGAAAGCAAAATCTTAACGTGCCATATTCAACTGTCTTCGGATATATCAAGCGAACTTGGAAAGAAGGAATTTGTCTTCCTGTAAGCTTTGGCTTGAGAACCGAAAACAAAATTCCACCATTTGCAACGGTCGTTTAACCAAGAATGTTTATCATTCATTTTTGCATTGCACTGTTACAGATTATAAAATAACGGGTTTTTGCATATTAACAAGAAACGGGAAAATTTTTAAATACAACCGAATCTAACCGAACGATATTTTTACAATAATGTTCACCCTGTACAAGGATCAAGAACCATTTATAGTAGAAGATAAGATAATAAAATGGGGGTATGAAGGGGATTTAATAAAGGCTGGCTTTATTTCAATAAAAATAGTCCATAATGTGAATCTAATATCTTAAGTAGGCAAAAGACAATTTAACGACTTTTATTCTATTCTATGTGTCACTCCACAATTTCTTTTTATAGCTCTTAATAAATTTTGACTTTTTGCCATCTCTCCCAAACCCTACTTCGCTATCAATCCATTCACTGAAGCTCGCCAGGTAGGTTTTGCATTATTCTCCTATGTCCCTCTTTGTCTTCAATCTGCCCTGTAAATATTAAATTTCTCAAGCCCTCTTTCCTCGTTATGTACGCTAGAAAATTTCAACTACCTCTTCATGATGTTAAATATGTGTTCAGTTGTTTCTGGAACTTCGTCGTTGTTCACATGCTTGCTCTATGGTATTCTCAATATCCTTCTATGCAACGATATTTCTGCTGGTTCAAGTCTGTTTTCGTCTGTGAGGAGATTGTCCCTCATTCACTGTGATATAGGAGGACTGATATTACATAACAATTCAGTCCTCTTTGTTTCTAACGATATTTTCCTGTTTCTTAATACTTTTCGAATGTCTCTTTGACTATCCCAATGCAACATCGGATTTCCGTGTTGCACTTTCTATCCTCTGTTAATATGCTTCCTAGATACCTAAATTTTTGCATCTGTTTGATTTCATCTTCACTTTGTAATTTGAGTGTTAGGCTGTTCCTTTTCTTAACAACCATGCACTCAGCCTTCTTGAAATTGACGTTTAGTCCTTTCTTCTTTCTTTCCTTCTCTACCTTTTGTAGTAATTCTTGTAGTTTTCTTTCCTTGTCTGCTATCAAAACTGTCAGTACTATATCATCTTCATGTTTTTGTGCATGCACTTAATACATCCTACAGCTAATAAAACACTTCAATAAAATTATTGCGGTAATTTAAAAAATAGAAATTTTTAAAGTTTGTATTATCATTGGAACTCAGATTTTTCATTAAGGATTATCGATAAACCGCTCAGGTAGGGAAACTTGACGTGAAGTAATGGTTAACAAGTTACTTTTTCAGATAATACTGTGGTGAATTCGATACTAACTAAATGCTATACATTTTGACCATGTACCAGACTAATCATTTTCAACAATATTCTTCTATGTGTCGCATCCCTTCAGGAATTGGATGATAATGGCTCTCCATAACTTCCTTTACTTTGTCGCTCTTTGAAATGTTTGTCTTTTTACTATACTTCCTAATCTGCCATCCATTTACACAAGTCGGCTTGGTAGGTTATTCGTTGTTACTTCAGTCCATCTTGCCTTCAGTATGTCCTGTGAGGGTCAGATTCTCCAAGCCCACTTTCCTCATTACGTGTTCTCAAAATTTCAATTGTCAACTTCTTATTCTAAGTGTAAGTGCCCTTTTTGTTTCCATTTTGTTAAAATTTCCTCTTTGCTCACATGTTCCATCCATGGTATTCTCAGCATCTTTCTGTAGAGCCACATCACTATTGATTCAAGTCTCGCCTTCAACTGTGAAGAAATTGTTCAGCATTCTGCGCAATATTGATATTATATAGCAGCTCATCACTCTGTTCTTTCTGTCTAACGAAAATTTCCTGTTTCTTAATACTTTGTTTAGTTTTTAGAAAACACGTTCAATATTCTAATGAACCTTCGGATTAGGGTGCCACATTTTCCGTCATCTGTTAAAAACAAAGTTTTCTTCTATGTGTCGTGGGACACAAATTCCTATCCGTTTTAGCCCTTGTAAGGTCTGTCTGTTCACTAGCCTTCACACTTCCTGTCCTGCCATCAATTTACACAAGTTTGTTAGGTAGTTTACTCCCAGTTTTACCCTGTCCTCCTTGGCTTTAATCTGTCCCATGTCAAATTCCTCAAGAAGACCTATCAAAGAGCGGATAAACGTTTAAGAAATCAACCGCCAGCTAAGTACAGTTGATGTTTCAATAAATCCACTGTGAAGAAGGCCAAGGGAAAGTACCCCACTACCAAACCCGAGAACAATCTTAACAATCGACGATGTTAAAAACAAAGTACATACCATAAAATGTTCAATATTTATTGTTATTAAAAGCAGAAATTAGAAATCCCCTCCAACCCCCATTTTCAGAAACTTCATGTGGAGTGAGTAACCATGGTTAAATGTAAAATAAATGAATGGTAGAACTGTCCAACAAACAGAATTGGCAAAGTTTACAATAAGCAATAACAAAAAAAAAGAAGAGAAAAGAACAGGTCAAAAATAATATAAAGCAAGCAACAATATATGCAAGGCAAATTAACAGTAATAACACAAAACAACAGTAATATGGCAAAATGTTCACAAACTAACAATTTGGGTTGATACACAAAAGCACATTCGAACAAGCGAACATTCTGACTTCAAGACAAGACAGACGGGCACTTGATTCAAATTTCGTCCGCTTTAAGTCCATATAATGACTTCTTTAATCACCATACAAGTTTGTCATTGTTTTTACTGCTAATGGAATAAGCCTCAAAATCAATCATTTTTCAAAGATTAAAGTCGAATGTTCATCACAAATTCTCTTTAAATCACACGTTGTTGATGAATTAAATTTCTTCCAAATTAAAGTTTAGCACTCATACACAAATTCTTATTCTTATTGCAATAACTAAATATACAAACAACTCCGTATGCGTAAAATTGCACACTAAAGTGCTAATATTTATTTCGATAAGTAGATTAACAATACATAGATAGTTAGATAGATAGATAGATAGATAGATAGATAGATAATGTATGCATGTTATAAGATCACTAAAAAAGTCAGAATTTTGTTTCGACACTTCTGATGTCTTGTCAAGTGATGATCTCTGTACTTATATATATATATATATATATATATATATATTGATAATATTAGTGGTTAATACACACACACACACACAAATATATATATCTATATATATATATATATATATATATATATATATATAAATATATATACATACATACATACACATACATATATATATATATATATATATATATATATATATATATATATATATATATATATATTCCAAAAGGATAGAATCCAGGTAGAACTCAATATCCAGGACAGAGTAAGAATATAATAAAAAGACTTAAACAGTAATATTCCATGGTTATAATTTATTACATTGGAATCGTAATTACCATCCAATTCATCAGACCTACAAATTCAAAAAGAAATCAGAAAAAAATAACTCCGGTAATAAAAACTAAACTTTAGTGAGAGTGTATGTAAGAGAGTGGGGGACGAATGTGAGAGATGAATAAAAGCTCTAGAGAGGGGTAACAAACAAGAGAAGAACAGGAAGGCCTATGAGTGAAGGTGGGGATTAAAATTTAACAGAGAGAAGTTTTAAAGAGAAGAGCTAAATGAATATATATATATATATATATATATATATATATATATATATATATATATATAGTACATGTAATAAATCCGTTGGTATATAATCTAAGTGGATCCTAGTAATATCAAATATTAAAACTGATCGACAAAAAGACCTCAATGTATTTATTATAACAGAGCTTACAAATTGCACAACAAAATAAAAAATGATCTCATATGGGAGGTATAGATCTAGAACAACAAGAAGTACTTGTCGTTGGTTGAAATAGATCTATACCTCCATATGAGGCAATTTTTGATTTTGTTGTGTAATATATATATATATATATATATATATATATATATATATATATATATATATATAACACTAATTTGAGTAAAATTTTGACACTTAACTGATTGCTGTTACTTTCAGTATCCCGACTATATGTTAAAGATTTGAATAACTTTTTTGTTTTTAAATTAAAATATATATTTTCAATAATATTTATTATTTTAGTGACATATTTCAAACGTTGAAAAATAAGGTTAACAAATATTCATTTTTTTCCCTTTTTTTCAACTTGCTCTAAGCAAACTCAGAACCAGTTGCATTTTCTAACAACATAAGCAGTTTATTCTGATCTCTTGCTTAGGGCACAAGTTATATTCATGTTTTAATAAGATAATTATCTAAATATATTGTAGATGTGAAAAGAAAAAGAAAGAGTCCTATTGAAGCAGAAGGGATATGTTAACGGATAGCGAAGACACGTGCGAAATATCCCACTGTAAAAAAGATCGGTGCCTGTAAGCAAATTTTCTTTGCTGACAGAGCTCTCTTTGTCACTGTTTGTCCCTCCCGCTCTCAAAACATTTCCACTTGTTGTTAGCGGGAGACCTATTAAGTTTCAAAATGTTCTAAAGTTATTCAACAACGAAATTCGTAGTTCTGCTGCTTTAAAAAAAAATTATCTTTTCAAACTCGGTCGAAGTTGCCGCACTTCCTTACAGCATTCAGACACCCAAACGTTACGAAAATAATGGGTCGTAAATTCGCTTTTTATCTTATGTTAATATTCCTCATGGTGCAAAATGGATTATTTTCTAAACTTCCTCGTAAAATGAATAGATCGCAAAGAGAGACACCGCCAGAGCAAAGAAAACGTTTTTCCCGGTTGGAGTATTCACATGACAGAACCAATTCTAAAAACACTTCCACAAACAACGATATCTTTTCAGCAGGAAAGTTGAACATTTTCACGAAGGAATCTGTTTTGAGATTTACACCAAGAAGCACAGAGCCAACATTAAGGAATTTAAAAAAAAGGAAATTTCTCGAAGTAAATGAGAAACAAAAAAGCAAAACTAAATATAACCAAACCGCGAAAAAGTTCTGGAGTTTACGTGAGTTTCCCGGTAAGAACCAACGAAACAAAAGATCGGTCGAAAATCTAACGGAAAGGGCCGTTTCATCGCACATTAGTTTACAGATTACAGAAACCACAATAAGAGTGGATTTTTCCGAAGATTCAACTGAGCGGTCGCAAGATTTACGTCCTGCTGTCTGCAGATTTATTACCAACGACAATCGACGTCTCATAGAGAACTTGGCTGACGCTATCAACTGCGGAAGTTACCCAGTCATAGAAAACGGTCATTTTGAACTTTTCCTGGGTGACCTGGATGATGATATCGAACCACGAATGAAATGTGATCGGTATTACGTTAGACAGGGGCCTATAGATGGAGGCTTAGTGTGCGTGGACAGAAAGTGGTACATTGATGCCAGCTGTGAAAAGATCCGCTGCAAAAAAGAACTTGAAACTCCGCTAAATGGACAAAACATATCGATGAAGGGAAATCAGTTCAATGATACAGCGTCCTTTTCATGTGCATACGGTTATGAACTGATTGGGGATGAGGTAATGCTGTGTGGGGAAGATGGCGAATGGATCGGAGAGATACCTACATGTAAACTAGTTCAATGTCCCAACGTCACGGCACCAGATCACGGATTCTTGTCTAATAAGCTGGAGGCTGATTCCAATGAAACATCGTTGATATTACCGGATTTTAATACAACAATTATGTATCATTGCGAAGAAGGTTATACTCTTGTTGGTAAGTCAGAAATTACATGTGAAGCGGATGGAACATGGAGCCAACGTAAGAAGCCACAGTGCAAAAAAGTGTGTTTGGTGCCGTTTACAAAGCGACTCACTTCAACTGTTTGGTTACAGCCTTACATGAACCCTTTAAATGTGCGAAGCGAGTTCCAGTTTGGTCAGCAAATTATTTATCTCTGCAGGAAACGCTATAAAAGTGTTAACGACGGTGAAGCCATGTGTGTGAATGGGACATGGGTACCCCCGATTCAATGTCGCCGGATTTACACCTGCACTGATCCACTTCCTCCTAAAAACGGGCGGATTACTGATCGAATTAACAGATCTTTCGTTCAATACACTTGCGATTACGGCTACCAAATTTCGGGCAGCAACGCGCAAACATGTCTCTCTAACGGAACCTGGAGCGGGACGAAGCCAAAGTGCCGTAAAATGTGCCGAATGCCACAGGTTTTTGCAATGAAAGACGCCTGGCTCTCCTTACAGTTCACGAAATTCCATCATGGCAATCAGCTGCTGGTCGGGAGTACGATCGAATATTCATGCAAGAATAGTTATCAAAAAGCCAGCAATATATCGTCCGTTTGCAATGATGGCAAATGGATACCAGAGCCTCGTTGCCTCTCAAAAATCGTAAGACTAACTGGATCAAAGAATGAATCCGAGGGATTGTTAGAAGTCTACATCAATGGAAAGTGGGGTTTGGTCTGCGATCATCTTTTCATCAAATTTGGCGTATGGGATGACGATGAGAGCAAAGTGGTGTGCAAAATGCTAGGATACTCTTCTGGGAGTAAAACGGAAGCTGCCAACTACCAAAGAATCACTAAACATATTACCTATCAAAGTGTATCTTGTTCCGGAGAGGAGAAAAATATATTGGCGTGTGATACAATGAAAGCAAGGGTCTGGTGTGACCGATTTATTGCAGTCAAATGCTTCGGAAGAACGATAAAAAATTAAATGTCTTTGTATGATGGCAAACGAAAGACTGAAAACTGGAATTGAGTAAGTAAAATTATAATGGAAATGTACATTATTTAAATTTCGCTTTTTGTTAGATTAATAACATGCTAAGTTAATATATATATATATATATATATATATATATATATATATATATATATATATATATAATAATATTTTTGTTTAAAAATATGATTCCTTCGCTACATAAGAGTCCTCATGTTTCAAAAACGAGAGCCGAAATCATCCAAATAATTATTAAAATTAAGTTGGATTGTGGTGTTTAGTTCCGTTTCATCTTCAAGCGAAATTTTAGGAATAAGCTATCTCTCAGTTTACGTGTATTTTTAGGCACGGTCCGTTACAGAATTCGTTATTGTGAGAGTGGCTAGACTATTTTCCTTCGTTAAGTGGTCAGAGAGTTAATTCTTATCAATAGATTCATCATTTTCTGAGAGGTTTTGCTAAGGTTGGGTAGGGTATCTATTTCAAGGCTAATGTTTGCGGTCACCCTTTAGTTAGTTCCCAGTGAGGGATATTTTTATGGCGCGCCTACAATCGTTATGTGTCTGGGGAATTGTCTTTTATTATTGTCCATCTGATTATCTATTTATTTATTTGTTTATTCAAGTGGGTGCTTTATATACAGATCGCATTGCACTGAATTTCAATTTGTTTTTTTTGTTTTTTTGTTTTTTGACGACTACAAAAAGGGTTTTTCCTATTTAATGATTTGGCTAAGCTTTTAAGAATTTTACTTAGCTATGGGATTTTTTTTTATATGCTAATTATTTAATGCGAAAGTTTGTTGGTGTCGGCAAAAAGCCGTTAACTCCTGCCTATGGTTTAATAATTTTTCATTATTTAGAAATTTAATGATATGTAGTTTTTCCTGTAAGCATAAAGGGCATGGGTCATCCCAGGTTTTACAGGTTCTTGTTTTATTTACTATTTTCCATTTTACTTTTGGTGTTTTATTCGTTTCTTTTAGATGCCAGAAATATTGGGATAGAGGTGTCTGATTTCTATTTTGAATATTGTTGAAGGAGCTCTTGTGTTGCCTCCATCTAATTTTAAAATTATTCTTCGTTGAGCCTATGTATATCTTATCAGTGTTAGGACTCTCAATGGATGAGATAGTGCACTGGTATACCACAGATTTTGTGAGGCATTTATTTTCCAACGGGCAGTTTTTAGGATTTCTACAATCACATAATTTTTCGTTATTTTTATCCAATTTTAGTTTATGTGTTTTATTACTGTTTTAGTATGCGTGTTTTTCTAGGATTTTCTTATTATGTCTTTTTATGATTCTTTCTATATTTTCAGTGCAGCTGTAACTCAATTTCAAGGTGTTTTTGTTAAAGATGTCGCTAAGTTTGCTATTAGTGGGAAAGTGCTTTTCAATTAAAGCTAGGAACTTATGGCCTAGTTTGGTGCTGACCATTTGGTTGTACGGGGTGGGGGGTATACCAGATGATCTTTCTGTTCCTGTTTTTCTTATTATTGGTACTATCGTTTCTATAGGTTATGTCAGCGTTTTTGTATCCGCTATTTTTCAGGGCTGTGTTGTAAAAACTACTGTGTTGTAGGAATATTTCCTTATTTGCTGAGTTCATACTTATTCTTTTCTCTATTGACGTGGGTATATGCTTAATGATAGATGGAGGGTGGTTTGACTTGGGATGTACATACAGGGGATTAGTATTAGGTTTTCTGTAAGGTAGGTGAACGTTGTTCGTTAAGTCTAGGGTTACGTCTAGGAAGTTTACTCTTTTTAATTTAGTGTTGACTATTGTTTTTAAATTTAGTTTCCCGAATTCATTGCAAATTATCTTTCTAATTTTCTCTGTTTTAAAGTTTGTGGAGCTCCTCACTACCATGAGCCCGTCATCTCTGTATAGCCCGATGTCCTCAACGTCTAGTTCACGGTGGGCGGTTAGATTGTACAGTATAAATAGACGGACAAGGTCCGAAGATTCTGCAGAATCTAGAGATCCCATGGTGATGTCAAAGTTGTCATTAGTGTTTTTAATCCACTGGTCCCCATTATGGATGAGGACAGATTTCTTTGCACTGAGAATTATGTTTGTTTCTTCCTTAGTTAAGTCTGGATATACTGTAGAAGAATATACTGTAAGAATATACTCTTCACGACTGCCCTGGAGTTTGCTACAGTATATTCAGACTTATCGATCGGGTTTTATTATATAAAAGATACTGGTTACAAAAATATATATTTGATTAATGCATTAAACTATATCTAAAGAATAATTAATTTTTATTTACTAATCCGACAGAATTTTATCACTTTAAAAATTATTTTTAGTGGATATTCATATTTGAGTAGACGCCCCGTTTATTTATTAAACAGTATATTTTTTTACCTCTAGTCGCCTAAATATTTGAGAAATATTATTAAAGAAAAATATGCGGTCTTCGGTAGGAACCGAACCTGAGTCCTCCTGGGCAGAGGTAACCGTCGTTAGATCTGGCGTGCTTTCAACCGACTCGATCACGAAGAACTTTTACTGAGAAGAATTTCGCACTACTCAGCCTTGTTTGATTGACAAAAGCTCTTCGAGGCAGAGCCGGTGTGGAAGCACATCGGATCTAACGACGGTAGCCTCTGCCGAGGAAGACTCAGGTTCGAATCCCTATTTTTAGTGGATATTTATATTTGAGTAGACGCCCCGTATATTTATTAAACAGTATATTTATTTATTTTTATCTATCAGCCTGAATATTTGAGAAATATTATTAACGAAAAATATACGCTCTCCAGTAGAGTCGGTATGAAAGTACATCGGATCTAACGGCGATTTTCTCTACCAGGGGGGATTCAGGATCGAATCCTCTCGAAGAGCGCATATTTTTCTTTAATAAGATTTCTCGACTATTCAGGTCGGTAGACGAAAATAAATAAACGGAGCGTCTACTCAAATATGAGTATCCACTAAAAATAACATTTAAATTGATAAAATAAGCAATATACCGGAATAAATTAGTATTTTATTAGTTGACATTTTAATAAGGGCTTCATAACTTTCTAAAACATTCCTCAGTCTTTTAACTAATGGTTTTCTTAATCTTTTTACCGATCCAGAATTAACTTAACTTTTAGCACTTTTACTACTCTCCAGAGATTGTTTTCATACAGTTACTCATTCAATGCAAAACGCAAGAATCACGTTAGGTAGAGGGTTACTGGGTGAGATTGATGTAAGGGTGTAAAGGGAGGGAGTTAGAAGTGTATATTGTGGAGATATGTAGGATAGATGACAGTCGAGCCTTGACTTAAAGAGGTTCAGATTGTGGGAAGCATCGTCTTCGGAGTATGTTCCATAAAGTAATAGTTCTTGGGAAACCAGTCTAAGTGGAACTTCCTCGTTTCTAATGGAATACGATGTGAATATTGATGGGTCGACCCCTGCACGTGGATAGTTCTACCTGTGAATGTCTGAACTGGTGGAACGAAGGAATGTAGGTCGTTTGAACATTTGCCATGAAACTAACAATAGAGTAGTAAAAGGTTTACGACGTTTCGACTGTGGGAAACTTATTTTAAGGTGGAAAATAATTCACCGCCTGCAAGGCTGCGTAAACGCTGTTGGACTCTGTCAAGGCTGAAACGTAAAGATTGCTAAGGAAGAATCGGATATTTTCTTGATCGCTACAAGAAACGGACAATTTTTCCAGCCTCTTTAGCGATGGTTCGTATATACGAATTCCACTTGAGGTTTGGCCTGATATTGAGTCTCAATAGGCGTTCCAGGCAATTGTTCTCCTCTCTCGTATAATGATGGACACTTTTTATATTAAATTATTATCTGAAAATTCTGACGAGGGACATTCCCTTAATAAATATCCGATTATTTTTTTATCTCTTCTTGGTTGAACTGAGAACTTTTCAGCGTATTTTAGTATTAATAAAAAAAAAATAAAGCAACCCTTTCTCCTGCTTAAATATTTGGCTGATATATGACCTGACGCTTATCATCATTTTTTCTTCGTTCACAGCTTTTATTGTTTAACGTAGGAAGATCTAGACGCATGTTACGTTAACAATGATGTCACTAGGTTAAAATGTGACTAATCTCTTAAATGCCAGCTTTCCCGCTGAACTGACATGTATACAAAATCGTGAAATTTAATAATTCTAATAATGTTACTGCTATTTATAAGACTTAAAAAATTACGTAATAGGCTTGGTATCCGAAAATGCCACCAAGAAAATAGTTTAAATGCGTTGTTATTAAAGCCGTTTTCATTTTTATTCCGCAGTTTCGGAATTAGGCACGAACCAGAAATTTCCTACCAATTAAAAAAAAAACTATCTGTAATATAAAATGCTGTTGCCGGACAAGAAAGCAAACTGAATTTATCAGTTTTCGTCTTCATTGGTCATTTTGTTTTCATTTCTATCTTGTTATATTGATGAAGTTCTACACTTCTTCATGTTTTAACGTGACATATGACACAGAAATTGAGTTCTTCCAGTAAGTTAGACGCTCTGATTAAGTACTTTATATTTTTATGGTATATTGTCAATTTGGAATTGAATTTAAGATTTTCATATACGCTTACACGATTATGACTAACCTGATGGAAAATTTGAATGCTTTTAGATCATTGAGTCTACACCCCGGTGCCACAGTTAATTGTGAACTCCATAAACTTATCAATGGCTCTATTCTATGCGCCTCGCCAAGGTTACGGTTTAGATAGATAGATAGATAGATAGATAGATAGATAGATAGATAGACGCACTTCGAAGTGGTGTAATGGTTAGCAAGCTTGTCTCGTTAGATCAAATACGAGTGAGTTCGATTTTCACTGGGTAATCCAAACTTTGGGCCTTGTGCCACATCTAGGCAACGCTTAGAAAATCAATATAGATATTTTTGTTCAATCTCATAGAGTTCACAACAAAGTACCGCAGTTAACTCGACACGCCAATTTCTTTTTCCGAGCCGATAACCGTTACACTTCCCGCATTTAATTTTTTTTTCTTAAATCTGTCTACGTGCTCGCTACTATTAGACAGGAATTTATTCTGATAAAATAGATTATTTGCTTAATTCTTATATAAATGAGTTAGAATGGTTTGTAGTTTGTTTTAGTGTTTATTTAAATCCTATTCATTTGTTTTTGTTTTTTTAAGTACTGTTTGAACTCATCTGTTTTAACGCCATATAAAAAGTTGAATTTGGTAACGAAAATATGGATTATAACTAACATGAAAAATGATCAAGGAGATTTTTTTTCCTTTCTGTCTGAATTTTTAAGATGACACATTATCATTATTATGTCTTTAGATTCGGACTATCATTCTCATTTTGATGGCTATGTTCGCAACGTTTCGGCCGTTTGTTTTCTCTCGTTAATCACTGAATTTCGAACCGAACTCTTTAATGGATCCACAGGAAGTAAGATTTTTCTCATTTCGATTGCAATTCAAAACGGATATCTCGAATTTCGTTAACACTCTCCAGTCTATTTTGTTTTTTCTTCCCCTGAATCAACATATAAAACTTTCCGCACTACCCAACCCACAAAATAAACACATGATGCCAGGGAACTACTTAGTCATATGTCTCTTGGACAACCTAGAAGTGTCATGGAGTTTTAAGCCTAATATCTGTACTTAAGTGGTGGATATTTTTCCGTGTCCTTTCTTAATCAAAGTCTCCCAGATAATGTTCCTCGTTATGCTAGGGCTATTGGGGATATTATCAGAGCCTAATTTGTGTCTATCAGACATCATTTTACATGGGTTGATAACCATTCCTTCCTTTCTATATATGATCAGCCATGCCTGATTTCAGTGTTTCCTCTAGGACTCGTCTTTCAAAATGACTCCACCTCTACTTTTAGAGGAGCAGATTATCTTGCCGTTGTATTCTTTGCCACAACTGCCTGGGATGGAATATATTCATTTCTTGGACATGTTCTCTTCTGAAGTGACTTGGTTTTTGAAGACCGTTCTGCTGTTTTATAGACCGGTGATCCTCTGATTTTTTTTATTTGACCCTTATGTACTATTCTTATCTTACATAATCATTAGATATATTCGTCGGGTAACGTAAACTTCAGCACATGATCACATTTCTCGAATACTTGATGGGAATTAACTTAACACAGAGTGTTTTCTGATAGGTGTCCACGAACCATTTAATAAAAGTATATGATAAAAAAGTATCAATGAACGCTCATAAACACAATGACTCATGCATAGTTTTATGATCATGTCGATAAGCCTGGAAATAGTTAAGAATCGTGAACCTGCGATTTGTCAGCGGTAATAAATATTGGATGCGCCGTTGATTGAAAGCTGACATTTTTTTTAGATTATTCCTTTCAAATCCAAAACCCCGCTGTCGTTTCGACAAATATTTTCATCGCAACTGTTCTGGTGAGCATTATTCCCTGGTGCCCCAACAGCATGAATTTAAACGTGCTACTAGACTGACATCTAGGTCTCACCGTTTTACTGCTGAACTAGTTAGATGCAGCTGAATGATTTATTCTAATAATTTCTTTTATCATATTTTTTGTCTTCCGATTTCTGACTTCCCTGAGGTGGCTTTTTTCTGTCTTTTCTACAAATCTTTTCATGGCAATTGTTCTAATGAGCTTTCTTCCTTGGTACCCCGACTGCATGAATCCAAACATTTTACTAGATTGGCAATTAGGTCTCATCATAGACTCAACCGCCACTTCTATTCTAACAGTTTCTTTTCTCCTACTTCCCACCTGTGGAACTCCTTAAAGATTTCATCCTTCCCTGATAATAACAATCTTCAAAAATTTAAATGAAAAGTCAATCGCCATCTTGTTTTCTTAAACCCTGTTCCTATTTTTATCGTTTCCTCAATCCTCCCCATTCTCAGTTTTCTCATTCTCTTTCACTTTCAGCCTCTTGAATCCCCTTTGCTTGGGATGAAACGATAAAAAAATGGAATCGAAGTCTTCGATCCGCTAAAATGTCTCATGGTGTTTTAGTGAATTGATATTTACCATTTAGGAACCCCAGTCTTGACCAAAAAAATTATTATCGGTATCACTTCATGCAAGGCAGTAAAGTCACTAACGTACAAGAGGTTATAGTGTGTGGAAGAATTAGGAACAGAAAGATTAATAAGCGGGAAGAGGAAAGAGTAATCAGAAAGACAATAGATAGCGATTGACATTGCATTTAAATTTTTGAAGATTAAATTTGGCTGGAAAAGAAACTGTAACCCTAAAATTTACGGTTACATCCTTAAGCGCCTTCCGTTTTGAGTTTAAAAGATAAAATTATGAATTGCTATTTTAGAATAAATAAATATTTTACTTTTTTTCTGTTTTAGACTTGTCTTTAACTATAGAATAATCTTCTGTACATTTATTACTGAAATCATCGGCAAAATAAGTGACTTATAACTAACCTATCAGTGTTATCTTCATAGAAATATCAAATTTAGTCCATCATTTGTAGTTTTTTTAGCTTATCCTAAAAACCGTTATTAATTACGTTATGTAAAAATTACTGTAATTATGATATAATGCATTATTTAATTCTGAAAGCTCATAGCATATTTTGTTACTGGTGACCCTTCACGAGGCCAATGGTCGTGAGTAACTTCATAGAAACTGATGATTCATTTGACATCGTAAAAGCCATAATTCAACACGTGTGTGTGTGTGTGTGTGTGTGTGTGTGTGTGTGTGTGTGTGTGTGTGTGTGTGTGTGCCCAGAACGTTGTACAAGAGTTAAAAGATTTTAAATGCAACCTTATTCGAAAATGTTGGATAGTGAAGTTACATTATTTTCCATCCATAAATCCGCAATTTGTATATACCGGGGAGAAAAATCTTTTTTTTAATGACAAAAGTAAATATTAATACTTTTATAGTTACTCTTTTAGGAACACACGTACACATTCTCTCTACTCCTCACTCTCACCTTCACGTTCTATCTCTCTCTCTCTTTGTTTCTCTCTGTCTCTCTCTCACACGAAATACACACACGTATATAAAGTTAAATTAGAAAAATAGTATGACAAATTGGAAGAAAGTTTTTTATTTGTATTTGCCATACTATTTTTCTTTATACTGTTTGCTCATATGTAAAATTATATATCGCTAATTCATGTATATATATATATATATATATATATATATATATATATATATATATATATATATATATATATATATATAGGGTTAGGCAAAAGCCGCGCACCTTAGAAATAATTTATTAAAAGCATAATTGCACATGAAAGTTTAATTTGCTAGTTATTTAATTGCCATATATGCTGTTCAATATGTCCTCGTTCTTTTTCAAAACACTTTTCAATTCTGTGTTTATATTTAATTCTTTCTTTAAGTTCTTTACAAGGTTGTGAAGTTTGGTAACCTCGGTGGCCACTCAACAGGATCCCTACGGTAGGCGACTTTTGTCTTTCATGAAAGAACAAGAGAAAAAGTATAACAACAATTAAAGAACAAGTATTAAGAAGAGAAAAGATAAGATTAACATTGCATTTAAATTCTTGAAGTTGACTAGGAAGTAAGTGTCCAGAACCGAATTCTACAAGCGTGAAGTGCAAGAGAAGAAAGAATTAGTATAGAACTTACGATTACATCTAGTCATTTCATCTGTAATATGATGAAACCTAGCTACCAATCTTGTACAGGGCTTAAATTCGTACAGTCGAAGTACCAAAGAGGAAAGTTCATCAGAACAATTACCATGGAAATATTTAATTAAAAGCCGTAGTGAAACTACATTACGACGGTGAGCAAGTAACTGAAACCGAGATGCCATGTCAGGACCGATAACATTGCTGATTCCTCTTTGGAATTTATCAAGAATCTCTAGATAGATAGCAGAAGTACTAATATTCCCGGATACTTTAAATTTTCTTTCCCCGTGAGATTCCTAATTTCCTGGTTGAATATTTCGATTCTCTTTGTTATTTCTTCTGTCTTTGTGCATCACCAGCATTGTATATTTACCTAAACTAACCAAATACCCGGCCTACAAGCAAAGAAAAATAATTCATAATAGAAGTTCACTTACCTTCATAAAATGTCTGTATAAACAACATTTTCAGCACGACATCTATTTTATAAAGTTTCTTTTATCATTATGCTAAGTCCACTTGAATTTCCGACTCTGGACTACATAAAGATGACCATGAGATGAAAGCCTAAATAATTTTCTGATATAGATAATAATAATAATGATAATAATAATAAACTAGCCAATGAAAGAAGGTACGTCATGAGAAATAATTGATTGACAGATGCTGATATTAAAGAAATAAAAAGAACTGCAACCAGAATAAGCGAATCAATAGAACATGAAAGGGAACCAGAAATGGGGATAAAAGGTACTAACATCACACAAACAACAGATCATAATGAAGAAACTGAGATACACACCAATTACTGTGAGATAATGCTGGAAGTTTAGAAGAGGTGGAAAGGCGTGATTAAAAGCCTACAATAAAAACGAATCCAATTATTTTACGGAAAACACAAAATAAGGAAATGGAGGAACGAGAAAAACTCCCAAAATTAAAAACAACAAAGCAAAACCTCAAAACTATTAAACTCTACAATGCAGCACTCAAATTAATTCTGGATGAAGTAGACCAATATAAAAGTCTCAACGTGGCAATATATGCATCAGCAACAGCAGCAGCTAAAAAATTAAAACATCAAAGTAAAAAGGACAATCTCACAGACATAAAGATCCTCCTTGGAAAAAAATAATAGA